TCCCTTCTCCTCCATTCTCCTCTCGGGATCTTGGGCACGCACGCACACGCGCCTGGCATGAGTTTTAAGCCACCGGGTCCGGGACGTGAACCGCAGTCGACTACGTGGGAGTCCAGCGACATAGCCATTACGCTAACTGCTGGTTCCCTTGTTTTGTAGTTTTATTGAACATTTATTTATTTATTTTAATTTGACCAGAGAGGGACAGAGGGGGGTGGGGGAGAGAGAGAAAGTGAGAAAGCAAGGTGCCGGGTCCGGGACTCGAACTGCAGTTAGCCATGTGGGAGTCCGGTGCCCTTAACCACCGCACCACCTGCCAGCCCCATACTACCTTGGTTTAGTACTCAACCTCCACTTAAACGTGTGTCTATGCTTTATTTTATGTACTGCCTCCTAGTAGGAAAGAGCTCAGGGTTCCCCATGGGGTTGGGTTGCCACAAGGCCCATCAACAGCTCTTCTTGCAGATCTCACAGAGCAAGCTGAGGACCCTGAAAGCCATTGTCCAATACAAACCGCCCATCAAGGAGACCAATAACAATATCTATTCTGTAAGTGCAGCAGGTGGGCGGGGCTTCGAGGGAGTGGGTGGGGCCTCTCAGAGGACCTGCGGGTGAGCAAAGGGAGGGGGCGGGGCATTGTAAGGAAAGTGGGTGGAGACTCTCAAAGGATAAGGGCTTCCCTTCCTCTGTCCCCCTCCCTTGCTAGAGATGGTCTAGACCAAGGGTCCTGGCTGCTTGGATGGGGCCGCCCCATTGCTCTCCACTTCTAGAGGACTCGGAGGAGGGAGGCTGCATCTGCAGGTCAGTGCGTCACCCTCCTCCAGAGCCTCCCCGGAGCTCGGTGGTAGGTGTTCTGCAGGTCCCGAGGGATGCTCAGTTTGGAAAACCCAACGGTCCACTTGGAGGCGCCGATTCTCTGGTAGTTCAAAGCAGAGTCAGACCACCTTGGGTTCGAATGCCAGTTCCTCTTTCACTTGCTGTGTGACCTTGGGCAAGTAACATACTGCCCCTGTCCTCAGCTCCCTCATCTGTCATAGGGAGGATCACCTATCTACTATTAGCGTGCCTTTGGTTGGGACCAGCCGCTGGCGTAGTGGCTATGTGGCTTGACGCCCACCTCAGTCCTGGACCCAGTGGTTTAAAACACAGTGTGTGTGTGCCCAAAATCCAAGAGGTTAATGGAGGAGGAGAGACTGCAGTGTGGCCATACCCTGGGGAGTGATTTCTCACTTTCTGTCTCTCTGGTAAGCAAAAATCTCTTTTAAAAAAATGCATTTGGTTAAAAAAGATAATAGGTTGGCCCATGTAGCTAAAGCCCAGGGTGTGGGTTTCAGGCACGGCTGGAACCAGGGGCTCAGAGTGGGTTGGGCTCTGTTTGGCTCCCCCAGCACCTACAGCCTTGAGCTGGTTCAGCATCTTCACTCCTTTGCTCCAGAGTGAGTGTCCCAGCATTTCCAGCCGAAGTCTTCATCTTCACTGTGATTGGACCTCTTGAAGTCTCATGCCCAGACCTAATCCAATCACTGTGCACTCAATGCTGATGGGATACTCTGGTTTAAACCAATCGGGGTTGACTTCTGGATCTGCGGGTAGACTCATCGTCATCCAGTAGGTGACAGAATTAGGAATGGAATTCGAGGAGGCAGAGAACACATAACATCTAACTCCACAGAATACTTCCGTGCCAACGACTATTAACTATTACAGTTTAGCATAACCTGATTTCTTTCTCTCTCTTTTTTTTTTTAGAGAGTTTTTTGCTATAGGGCACATGCACTCGCCAGAAAGACAGAGAGAGACAGAGAGACAGAAAGTGAGAAATCACCCCCCAGGGAGTATGGCCACGCCACAATCCCTTCTCCTCCATTTTCTTCTTGGGATCTTGGGCACACACACACACAAGCGTCTGGTATGAGTTTAAGTCACCGGGTTCGAGACTCGAACCATAGTCAACTACTTGGGAGTCTAGCCACGTAGCCATTACATCATATGCTGGTCCCAATATTTATATTTTTACTTAATTTGTTATTATTATTTATTTTTTAATTTTACCAGAGAGAGAGAGAAAGGGAAAGTGAGAAAGCAAGCTGCCAGGTCTGGGACTCAAACCATAGTCAACCATGTGGGAGTCCAACACCTTAACCATCATGCCATCTGCCAGCCCCAAGGCTTATAATTTTTAAAAACTTTTTAAAGAGAATTACTTTATTTAACTTTCTCTCTTTACTTATTTTAATTTGACCAGAGAGGGGGAGAGAGGAAGAGTGAGGGAGAAGGTGAGAAAGCGAGCCGCCAGGTCCAGGACTCAAGCCACAGTCAGCCATGTGGGAGTCCAGCACCCTCAACCACCACGCCACCTGCTGGTCCCAACTTTTACAAACGTTTTCATCACCAGAGAGACGGGGGAGAGGAGAAAGCACTTCCTCACTGGGGTGTGGCCACACCACGATCCCTTCTCCCTGTTGGGGTGTTGGGGTTTTGGGCTTGCACACACATGTGGCCTGTTTCTCAGGGTGTGAGCGCAGGGGTCCCAGCTGTGCGGGAGGCCATGTGGGACCTGGCTCCCTCACCCATGAGGCCGGCCCACCTTGGGCTCCGGGTGGAGGCAGCAGGACTGGCAGACCCTAAGCCTCCCTCTAGCTGGGTGCACGTGTTAGGGGACCTGACGGGACAAGGTCAGCCCAGGGAGGGGGACGCCTGCTGCCCCCCACCCCCTGCTTGGCCTTGCTGTCCACAGTGGGAGGACTTCATGGAACTTGGCGACAGCATTCCTGACAGCCAGCTGGAGCGGATCATCGAGAGCCAGAAAGCTAATCAGTGTGCCGTCCTCATCTACACGTCGGGGACCATGGGCGACCCCAAGGGGGTGATGCTCAGCCATGACAACGTAAGCCTGAGTTCCTTCACTCTGCAGCAGAGGCCCCCGGGAGCCCAGCACTCAGTGGGGATTAGACAGTCACGTGATCACGGCAGGGCAGTACAGTGCAGGGGCTGAGGACGAACACCCTGGAGCAGACCTGGGCCCAGAGCTGGGCTCTCCGGTCGACGAGAACTCTAGCATCTCCAAGCCTCAGTTTCCTCATCCGTAAAGTCAGTGACCAAACAGCTGGGTCATTCTGAGGATTAGATGACTTGAAAAGCCGGCACGTGGTGTGCTGGTTTAGGCGTTGGACTTCCACGTTGCTGACCGTGGTTCGAGTCCTGGCTTAAGAATTGCACTGAGGGGCAGGGCCACCAGGTGGCATGTGGTTAAGGGCGCTGGATTCCCACATGGCTGAGTGTGGTTCGAGTCCTGGATCTGGTGGCTTGCTTGCTTTCTCGCTTTCTCTTTTTCTTCCTCTATCCCTCTCTGGTCAAATGAAAATAAATAAATAAATTTAAATTTAAAAAATAATTTTTTCTTTACTGCTTAAAAATGTTTTTGTTTTTAATTAATTTACATTCATTTACTGAGCATTGTCACAGCATACAAAATGTGATTTCCCACCCAGAATATACTGCATAGTGGATTAATCATACACATTAACATCAATAATTTTCCATTTCTAGTTTCATATATGTATATATATGTGTGAGTGTGTGTGTGTATATATCAGTTTTCCACTCGTTTTACATTCCTTCCCCCCCCAGTTTGTTGATTCACAACATTTTAAAAATAATCTAGCTACTTTCAATAGCAAGCTCAGCTGGTATATACGTATCTATGAATGCATGTCTGACTTTAGGCATGAAACTCTGAGTAGAATGAATATACTATAAGGTAGCACCTAGCTGGTACTCTATAGTTTGCTATGTTCATTAATTACCCACCTCCGGTGGTAATTTCTTGCTTTCTGTCTCTCTGTCTCTCTCCGGCAAGTGCACACACCCTATAGCAAACATCTCTCTCTCTCTCTAATAAAAAGAATTGCACTGGTGCAGGTGTGTGCGTGTCCAAAATCCCGGCAGGAGAACAGAGGAGAGGGGATTGCTGCATGGCCATCCCCCTGGTGAATTCTTTCTCACTTTCTCTCTCACTGTCTCTCTCTCTGGTGAGTACATGCATCCTGTGGTAAAGCCTTAAAAAACAAAAAAAAAAAAGATTTGGGACTAGCAGTTGATGTAATGGCTATGTCGCTGGACTCCCATGTAGTCGACCATGGTTCGCGTCCTAGACACGGTGGCTTAAACTCATGCCAGGCGCGTGTGTGTGCGTGCCCAAGATCCCGAGAGGAGAATGGAGGAGAAGGGATTGCGGTGTGGCCATCCCCCTGAGGGGGTGATTTCTCACTTTCTGTTTCTCTGTCTCTCTCTGTCTTTCTGGCGAGCACACACGCCCTGTAGCAAAAACCTCCCCCCCCAAAAAAAATGATTAGCTGACTTGATATTTTGTAGAGCGCTTAGAACCACACTGGATAATAAAATAATCGTGGAAGAACAGTGTATCTGTGTTTGGGAGGTAAAGCAGCAGAAGCTGATTTCTTTCAAAGTATTTGTTTCTTCTAGGAATAGGAGGAACACAGACAGAGAGAAGCAGAGACAGACAGACAGACAGAACCCCAACAGGGCCCTCATGCTGAATTTGCTCCCAGTCACAGCCTGTGCTGGAGCACAGGCACATGCATGCCTGGTGAGCTCAGTCAGGTCTCCGGACATGAACCCAGAACTTTCCCACGTGGGTTGCAATGTGTCGCGTTTTACCCCTGCACCGCTGTCTAGTCCACTCAGCAGTTGGTTTGTATTTAGTTATTTATTTTTGGCTATAGGGTGTGTGTCCTTCCTGTTGAGACACAGAGAGGAAAGGCGAGAAATCGCCCCCTGCTGAGGGGATGACCACGGCATCAGCCCTTCTCCTCCTCTCTCCTCTCAGGATTTTGGACACACGCACAAGCGCCCAGTGTGATTTTCAAGCCGCTGGGTCTGAAGCTCAGACGGTGGTTGGCCATGTAGTAATCTAGTGCCTCAACCACTGTGCCACCTGCCAGCCATCAGCAGTTACTGGTTTATTTATTTATTTAAATTTGACCAGGGGAGTGCGGGTGGGGAGGAGAAAGTGAGAAAGCAAGTCTCCAGGTCCAGGACTCGATCCATGGTCTGCCATGTGGGTGGGAGTCCAACACCTTAAATTACCATGCTACCTGTTGACCCCAGCAGGGGTTTTTTTTGTTATTTTTAAAAGAATTGTCTTATTTAACTTTATTTTATTCATTTATTTTTATTTGACCGAAGAGGGACAGAGAGAGAGAGAGAGAGAGAGAGAGAGAAAGTGAGCCACCAGGTCTAGGACTTGAACTGCAGTTGGCCATGTGGGAGTCCGGCACCACCACTATCACACCACCTGCTGACCCCCCCCCCAGCAGTTCATTTTTCATCACTCAGGGAAGGCTGCTTATTTGAGAGAAAACAGAGTTCAAAACTGATGGCAATTTGGATCTGTTGGACAGGAATGATGGGGAGGGGGTAGATTTAATTGCTGTGTGATTTAATTGATATAAAACCCTAGAAAATTCAGACTTACCCATAGTGAGAGGAGGCAGAGGCTAGTTCCTAGGAGCAGGTGAAAACTCCACTTTCCCATCCCGTTGGGATTTGGGGCCTGCACATGGCCCTGGCATGTCTTTGAAAACTCCAGGTTTGGGACTTGAACTGTGCAATCGGCCATGTGGGATCCAGCTGCCTTAACCACCGCGCCATTGGCCGGCCCGATAAATACATTGGAAATGGCTCTCCTGCGAGGACGAGGCACCTCGGCTTGTCCCTTGTATTCCAGATCACATGGATGGCCGGGGCAGCAGCAAAGGACGCCGGGATGATCAATATGCAGGGGAGGCGGGAGACGGTGGTCAGCTACCTGCCCCTCAGCCACATCGCCGCACAGATGATGGACATCTGGATCCCCATCAAGATCGGGGGGCTCACGTACTTCGCTCAGCCAGATGCTCTCAAGGTAAGGCTGCGAGGCCTGGCCAGCCCTGGTGGGCGGAGGTCTCAGGGCTCTTCCTCTTTGCCCCTCTTGTACTCCATTGTGCAGCCTTGGAGACAGCAGACCACAGGCTTCCATTTCGTCTTTACCCAAGTCAGGGCGTCCGTATGTGGTTCTGTAGGCTGAGTCCAACCCAAGGGGGGAAACAGAATGGCAGTACAAGTGCGGTGTGAGTGTGTGTTGTAAGTTTCTGCCCTAGGATGTGTGTACTTGCCGGGGGTGGGGGGAGAGGAAGTGAGAAGTCATCCCCAAGGGGGATGGCCATGCTGCAATCCCTCCTCCTCCTGGGATTTTGGGTATGCATGCACACCCACCCAGTGTCAATCTCGACACCAGGTCCAGGAATTCAGCCATGGTGGGAGTCCAGCACCTTAACTACCATGCCACCTGCTGGTAGCTAATTCTTTTTTAAAGAATTCGTTTATTGGGGCCAGCAGGTGGTGTGCTGGCTAAGGACTCTGGACTTCCACATGGTTGACTGCGGTTCAAATCCCAGACCTGGTGGCTTGCTTTATTTCTCACTCCCCACCCACCCCCTTGTCAAATAAAAATAAATAAATAAATAAAGCTAAATAAAATAAGTCTTTTTTATACTTAGCTTTATTTAATTTTTTTTTCATTTGATGAGAAGGGGACAGAGTGAAAGAGAGAGAGAAAGTGAGAAAGCAAGCCTCGAGGTCCAGGACTCAAACTGCAATCAGCCATTAGGAGTCCAGCACCCTTAGCCACCATGCCACCTGCTGGCCACCTCTTAAGGGTTCTTTATACATATTGTTATTACAGTCCTTTATAAAATATATGATTTATAATTACTTTTTCCAGTTCTGTGGCTTGTCTTTTTGTGTTTTTTTTTGTTGTT